GGTGTGCTTTGTTTATTGTGTTGTAGCTTTGTAACTAAGTTTGTAACCACGTCTCGTCCTTTGTAAGATTATCTTTTACTTTTTCTTATCTTACCATGAGAAAGATTGAATCTCATTAAGACGTTACACTTCGAAAATATAAATGTTAAAACTGTATTTTGTTGCAAAATCCTAATACTCTTCTCTTTGTAACTCATTATTCTTTAACTAGGTGGGCTCCATTTTCCAGCAGCAAAATCCTTATAAAACTTGGACCTCTTCGATACGACGTAGAAGACTATGAACGAGTAAACCCAAAAACAAGGAGAGAAGAAAGATCAGATAATGTAAACGAAGTTGAAAAAAACAGAGTCCAATGTGATAGTAGTACAAACAAACCTGGAATCTCAGGGATGACCAAGTTAGGTTCTTTCAACACGTCGTGCAATGTTCTTCTCTCGTTCACTTTAACCATACCTGACGAACCTCTTCCTTTCACTTTCGTCCCAATTCAAGCAAAAATATGTGAGCACATAGCTATTGACAATGCAGAGTGCATGTTATCATAAGTTTAAGATTCTTACGGTTGTAGGGTTTTTTGGCGAGGCTTGTGTCCTCGTCTCCGCTGGTTCCAGCTTGAGAACCTTTTGTACCTTCTAGAAGATACTGGAGAACTCTACTACTCGGCAATGGAGTTCCCGAACTTGCCTAGGGAAGAGAGGATTCTAGAGTTTAGCACGAGATGTTTCATAACACAATTTAGTCTATAGAGTTTCATTCTCTTTTCATTGGAGACGTTCACTGAATCCATCAAGACAAGAAACAGACTCTCGCAGATTAATAAAACGGAAACCAGATGTAAGAATTTGAGATGCAGACACATTTTAATTACAGATAATATCGTAATAATGGCGCCGGAAAACTTAAAACTAAGGTTGGTTATACACAGAAAATATTTGTGAGTAGAGTGGGAGGAAATGATTACCTCGTAATAAAGCTCAATCGCATCGCGCGTGTACTCATTGTTTTTATCCCATGGCAGTGGCGGGCTATCCTCTGAAAACATGTTCAGAGAGCTAAGGAGGGACAAGAAAATGAACTGAACAATGCTAATCGAAATGAGGTACAAG